CCAAATTCACCACACTTTGTTGGTGTATCTCACCCAAATCCCTTTTCCCTCATATTTTCAATGTTTCCCACTTATTTATTAAATGACTGCAGATTTTCTTGTATTAAAAAAATCCTAGTGAAAAATAAGATATTCTAGCAGGAAAAATGCAATTAAAATAATCCTATTTTGTTGTCAGCTGTATAAAGGTTGCAAGCTGTGTGAAATAATTTGGCAGTTGTCATACTCTGGTACATAGCGGGCAAGCACCACAACATTAAAAGCACAAGCACTGTGAACCTGAACCATCACCTCCACCTATAAACTCATGTTTTGGAATGAGATGCATCATGAAGTAAAGACACTTGAAACCTGAGCAACTCTCTTGCTGAAAGACAGCTTTAATCTCCATTTAAACACCAATATTTTGTATAGCTTCAAAGAGAAGATGTGAGGAGAGGTGGCCGTAGGAAGTGAATTCCAACCACACAGCGAGGCATGTCTCCTCTTGGAAATGCAGGCTGAAGTCACAGGATGTCATCTCCACAATCCTGTTTTACTTCCCCTTCATGTACTCATCTTGGGAAGAGATCAACTGCCAAGCAGATTTTGCTTTTAAGTCTATGGATTTGTGTATCATCTGGTTCTTACACTGATTTCTGTAGGAAGATATTTGTCTTATTTCTCACCTAATGCCTCACTACTGAACTAGCAGAGGCAAAAGAAGAGATGAAGGCCACAAGTCTATGTAAAGAACTCTAAACTAAGAATATCAGGAGTATTTACACTGATCATTTTTAATTCCAAAGAAACTCTCTCTTCCTATAGGTCATATTGAAGCCATACACATGCACTAGTACGCTTGTGTTTTGTTATTTAAGAGAAATAAATCAACTTGTCATTGGCAATCATGTAGTCTGGAAAACATGACTGAACAGGATGAATGGAGACTGTCAGCATTCTGTCTTACACACTGTATCACTACAGCAGGTGAGCAACCACCACAATCATCACCCATAAAGGTACTGCTGGACCTATCATCTAATTACTTATATTAAATCCTTCATGTGAAATTAATACAGAAAAGCATCAAATTCATTTCTCTGTTAGAGAAAATCACACATTCATAAAGCACAGGAGGTATCTACATGCAGATTCTTGGCGCTACATTTTGTTCTCCATTACTGTCACTTCATATCTTATGGTACTCTGGAAGGTTTTTTTTTAAGTCACCATACATACGCATAATCAACAATAACATATTGATCTCTATATTTTGAAATCAATTTAGCATCTCCTAATTGTGATCCAGTGAAGAAAATCCATAATTTTTGCCACAGAAAAGGAGAACTTAAGAATTCTCTGAGCTGCTGGGATAAATTAGTTGTGAATAATAATTCCTGCACAGTGTCTTGTGCTAAAATCCTAAAGTACAGCTGTAACAACAGTTTCGTTTGCTAATGATAAGTAAGGGATGTGTATAGGGACCTGTGCTGTCACTACCAGAACAGCATATTGATCGCTGACAACAATGCAACTTCCATTGCTAACACAATTCAAGAGAATTAAGACACAGAAGTGGGGCCATTTATTTTTCTCAGTAGTTTTTTTCCTGCTTATAATTATTCTGGTATATATATACTTGCATGCAACGAAATTATGCGCACTTACACAGTTCAGCCACTAGCAGAAAGCTTTGATGTTTCCCTGTAAACAAGATCTCAATTTATAGGTCAAGATGTAGCTGCTTGCAGGACAAGTGGAATATGAGAACTCACCATATTCTGGACCTTTTATCTTAGTATTTAGAAAATTGACCCCTCCTTACCATCCATACCGGCTAGCAAAAAAACAAAAACAAAATCAAACGAACAAAGAAACAAGGCCACTATTTATCACATAAAGTTTTTTTTTTCCTTTGGTTGTTGTTGGTTGTTGGGTTTTTTTTTAAATCAAAAGGCCAAAATCTGCAGTAAGAATAATTCAATTTGATGGCTTATCTTTTTGGGGGGTCTTCACTGAAGTGTGGTCATAAAAGCAATTTCCATGCTGATGAAGACAAAAGTTTTTATGAAAACAAAACAAAACAAACAAACAAAAAACTCAGGAGGATCTTACTACCACAAGCACATAACTATCTTTCCTTTTTAAAGAAAATGAAATTAAACTAACACACAGCATACAGGGTATTCTTTTTTTAAACAATCCCAGAAATAGAAATGTTATATATAGTGACATTCCCTAACAGAACTACTTGTGAACCCTTATTTGCAGATGTTAATAAGACACTGTGTCTTTTTAGAATCCAGTCAGATCTAAAGCTTGACACTGTAACTTCTTAGTTAATGGGTCTCTTTTGAAGCGTAAACTACAAAAAAGTAAACTTGATCATTAAAAAATGTCAAACTAGATGACATCTCAATCCTTAAAAAGAAACGAAAGGAAGAAAATGCAGGGTTCCAGGTTTCAAAAGGGAGATAGAGTGAGAACATATTTTTCTTTTACTTACAAAAGTATTAAAATGATTTAGACTTCTAAAATTCTATTCTACATTCTATTAAAATGATTTAGACTTCTGATCATATTAAAGATAGAGAAGCCTTCAGAAATAAACTTCTTGACACATAGGAAGCTTTAAGTTGTATTTTGCAAAAAGACATCACAAAGGTCTCATTCTGATTAACTTAATTGGATTATATAATTATTTCTAATAGACAAGTAGGCATAAGTAGGATCAATACAAAATGTCACATAAGCCTAGATTTATTCACTATGCAGAAACAGAGACTAGATATATATCCACATCCTGTCTTCCAAATTAGTCTACATTTCCTAAACCAAATATTACTAAAAAAAAAAAAAAATTCAATCTACCAAATGATAACCACAGGAGCACTTCTAATTTCAGTAGTATAGGAGGAGAAAGGGCCTCCACCAAAGCAAGCACACTGACATTGCTAAAATGGTTTTGTGTAAACTTCAGTCTACATTTCAGGAAGAAAAGGCATTTTGGAGACCAAAGTGTTAGGCCTTCTTTCATTTTTACAAAACAGCTTTTATCTCTTTGAGCTTCTCTGAGTTTACGACAGGCAACGAAAAGCACATACATATATCCACTACTACTATGCAGACGTTATACAGAGCCATGCAGCTTGCAGAATCTCCATCCTTGAGGGTATTCAAGACTTGACTGGACAAGGCTCTGTTCAGACATATTTATGTTGAAGTTAGTACTGCTTTGAGTGAGGGTTGAGCCAAATGATCTCCAAAGGTTGCTTCTAAGATAGATTATGATCTATGATTCTGTGATCTTATAATCATTTTTATTTTTTTCTCTCAAAGCAGAATGATGAAAAGCCATTTTCAACTTCCCATTGAACTGGCAATGGGTTTAAAGTGTGATTTTCATGAGAAGCCAAGGTGCCTGCATTCAGGAACTGTGCCACTTGCTCCTTCCTGACCTTTCCTAGTGTTTTCCTAGTATTTTCGGTTTGATTGTTTGACAAAAAACATACTGTTAAGCAGAAACAAGAAAAACGAACAAAGGTAAGTGGCTGGAGAGTTAAGACACAAAACCATAAAGGTCTGCCATAATTCTGAATTTCTCTCCTAGGTTTAGAAAAAAAATTCTCTTCTAGGTTTAGGAAAAAAAACCAACATAGTTTGTGCATTTATATATACGTTGTTGTGCAGGCATACACCTCTGTTCATGCTCTTTGAGGAATTCTGTGCTGTCAGGAAGCCTGAAATTACAGTGCAGATGCAGGAGACTGCTTTTCCACGGTTTGGTGGATCTCAAGGTTCAGTTTAACCTCCTTGGAGGTGACACTGCTTTCTTCTCTAGGGAGACAACATACTAAACAACCAATATTGGTTTCGTTTCTCTAAATCAGGTAACATGTATTTTTTCTCTTGTGGCCTGACTTTTTTGGGGAGTGTTTAGGAAATAGGGATAAACCTCTCTCAATGATACCCATTTATGCTTTTCTAGTGTGTTGAACCGTAGGGGCTCTTGAAGTTGTGTTCACACTAGAAGCTAAATTCCTAGTGTCTATTTTTTTATTACTGTTATTTTATAGAAAAGGAATGTTACATATAAAAAGAAATTTTAAAATAATTTAAATACTTTATGACTAATGCCCAAATTAAATCACTTAAGATTCTATTTTCACTCTCTTCCTCACCTCAAACTATCAAGGTGAGAATAGCAGAAAAGTTGTGTCTTTCCTTATGAAAAGATGCCCTTTCCTTATAAAAATATTATAAAAATAAACTAAATAAGAGAATTATTAAGATTAATACAAGAGTAGTGCAGAGAGAAGATGAAAAAGAAAACTGTAAAAGAAAGATAATACCAGCTTCTAAATTTAGCCTCCAAATATCACTAACGGCCTCATACTAAGCCTAGGATATACTCTTACAAAATAGATCTTTTAAGCCTCACAAATAATTCCACTTCTACAAACAAAATAGCAGCAGCATTCTAAGAGTGTTTATATTTTGTAAACATGAGAACAGCCCTTGGACACAACAAACAAAATAGGATAGTTTGCCAATTGCACAGTTATATTCCTTACATATACATATCTTTTAGGACCAAAATTCTAAGAAGTGGCTGACATTACCACTCTCTACCTAAATCTCTAGTTGCAAGAACATCTCCAGAACAGCCCTTTAAGAAAGGGACAAAACATGTTTTTTTCCAGGAGCTTGATCTTTTCAAGGTAACCATGTTACTGACCTGTGGAGAGAATTTAGCTTTACGGTATCTTTTCATCTCTACCTCTACATGAGGGTGGAACGGTTCCTAGCCTTCATGCTTTACAATGTGCCCTGCACAACCAGAACTTAAAGCCATCATCTCCATCCTGTAAGCATGGTCCCCATCACTAAAAAGTTGTGACTACCCTGACTGTATCATTGGTAGGTCAGAACGAACCACATTTCTCTACCATCATATGTGTATTTTCAGAATTTGAAGGATGTTCAGCTATGAAAAACATCAGTGATGTCTAACGTACCTGTCAATAATAGCACACATGTCAATGGTGACATTAGCAAAGCTTCCAAGCTTGCCTTGCTCCACTGCTTGTAAGTCCACCAGCTGATCGTCCACGTGAATAAACTGCATGCATCCTTGAAACGAAGGCTGAAATAGCGAGTGATCGGAGTCATTCATCTGCCCAGGAAACCCTGTAGAGCAGGAGAAAAAAGAACATTATTAACATCCCATTCTATTACTCAAGCTAGCATTTCTTCACAGTAGGAGATGTGTTTCCTAGACAGGAGAAGAAAAGACTAGGTGAGAAGGACATATTTAATAATTATTAGGTTACACTGCATTATGTGTTACTGACTTAAGCCACCGGCAACTATGAGAAAAAAAATATTTAGTACAGGTCATGATTCTTCCATTAATTTTTGTCTACTGGACAGATGCTTTCAGTGAGTCATCTTCTCCTCCTGCAGCCTGTCACTGTTCCTCATTACTTTTCTCTTTATACAGATATTAGTTGAATAGGTGAAAGATTTGTCTTCTTGCTATATTGTAAGAGTCACTTTCCCATTTCTCAGATATTTTTTACAGTGTGCATTCCATGTAATCCAGTTCAGCTTTATCTGAAGCTACACCCCCTGTACAATAAAAACTGGTACTGGAAACTTTCTGTAAACTTAAAATGAGGCCTGAAATCTAATGTCCTGGCTTACTTGTAGGAAATCTGAGGACATTCTGCAGCATTTTTGTTTCTGCAGTGAATGTCTTCATTTAGCCATCCTTCTGAAAGCCCTTTACAAGAGAGGAGAAGGAATTCCAGTCTTGACTCAGGCTAAAAGACAGGGGGAGAGAGGATATTTGTATGTAACTCTTTAACTGAATGCCCTTCAGAAGTGAATGTGTCAACTTAGCTGTGAAAAATGCCTTGCATAAGACATCAGTGAGCCTCCTCCACTACTTATAAATCGTTAACAATGAACTCCCTGAAAAAAGCTTCAAGAAAATCATTGAAACAGAATCTGCTAAAGAAGAGGGACAAGATAACAACAGTTTATTGGTAGAGGCTGAAAAAATGCATAACGGCTTTATGCACTTCAGTTAGGAAGATGACCAGTCATGCGGTTCTTCTCTGACACGAGGAGAAATTGTGCACACATTTATTTTGGCAGCAAAGCCAAGTGATGCAGCCTCCATTCCGTCTCTCACTTTGCACTGAAAAAGCAGTTTGTGGAGGCATGGTGCAAAAAGATAGCAGAATTAAGGCAAGTTAAAAATAACCTAATAAAGGGCGTATTTTTTAAAATTCAGTTCCCAAAGGCAGTTTACCACACGCCTTAAAAATAGCTGGATTGACACAACTGCGAGGGCAGTGATGGAGGGCAGCAACCAGCAAGTGGGGTTTGATGACCGATGCTGCTCAAAGTGGCAAATGCTGACACACACATACGCCTACCCTAAAATCTATTTAGGATAGCATTTTGACTTCAGAAGTTTGTCAGCATATACATATGACCAATAAAGGCTAGTTAAATTTCTAACTTTAACTAAGATGCTTCTAAAACACTCTTGCTCACCAGCTAAAATTACTGCTGGCAGCCCAAATTCCCTGCATGTGAGTCTTCAGAGCTCTCCAGTGTAGATGCCAAATTCATCAGGGATATTACAGAAATGAAGGAGTAACTATGCTAAAAGTGAACTCTCATAGGTATTTCAGGACACCCACTTGATGTCAAAAGCCCCCGTGGGACAGATCTATGACACTACCACAAGGTGCCTTGAAATGCAGCGAAAAATTTATATTGCTCCCTCTAATGCCAATCACAAGGAGAAGGAAAAACTCCTTGGGATTCACAGCCTCCACAACTGCTGTTTCATCACAAAATCCTTCACCTCTGTAGACTGCCGAGGTCGCCAGAAAACGCTAATCCTTATTGCTCCTTTGAGGTTGTTAGTATGCGTTTCAGTGACCAGCAGGCAGTTCAATCAAGGCAAAATTGAATGCAAAGAGTCATCAGTTACTAAACACTCAGCAAGAGCTTAATTAAACACTGCCAGACACAATATGTGGCAGAAAGCTCTTGTTGGGGTTCTGCCCAGCTGAGGAACCCTTGATGTACATGCGTATTTTAGCATTTCCAAACCCAAGGCAGTATCTGGAGCAATTGAGAGATATCAGAGATAGCCATGGCCTTATCTCATAGAAGCATTTTATGCTCCCTATCGGACTGAACAGAAGTTAGTCACATAAATTAGTCGTTCATCTCTTATCCAAGAGAATGGTCTATACCAAACATTAGCCATCTAAATTCTGAATTTTTATATTTGAATGGATGAGCTCTCTGCTGTTCCTAGCCATGTAAAGAACTGGAGGAGAGAATTTTCATGCACTTCTACGATACTTCACATAATGGGTGTCAAGGCATTTCAGTCTTATTATTATTATGATAATTATGCAAAAACATAATTTCAGAAAACAATGCCCTATCCACAGGAAATTGAAGACTTATGTGGGGTTTTTTTTTTCAACCACATGTTTCTTCCAAAACTAGACTTCTTTCACATTTTTTCTGCTTTAAAATTGCTGCCACAGATTAGATGATAAACTTTTCTGGAGATAGTTAATAAATAAGCTGTTATATAAAGAGCATAGTATATGGGAGAGCAGCTAGATAAGCCTTCTGTATAATATAAATACTGTTTTCAAACTATTAAATATTCAGGCAATGATCATTAATTTTGTTAAGACTTCGACAGCCTTGGCCATACAATCCCAGAGAGAGTTATCTGGGGCAAAGCTTGTGCCTTAATGTAAACCTGGAAATGACCCAGTATATTGTGGTTATTTTCTCCAATACAGATACAGCGACAGTTTTTCCCTTATAGGTTTCCAGCACTGGGTCATGATTCACTTCCTGGTCCTGTCTCCACTGAAGGAAATCATAATTAAATGAAGTTCTATAACCAAGGCTGACACTAATGCTGTCACTGGAAAGGCCAAGTAATGGATGCCCACATTGTTTAGACAACACTGTATTGATTTTCTTGCTGACAAGAAAAATATGTACATTTCTAACCACACATAAAGAGCTATTTCAGGATACACAGTGTAAAAGAATGTTGATGCTTATGATTACAAATGCACATTAAAGCCTGATAGACTCCCTTATGCTAAAGTTTCTTTCTCTTCCTGATTTTCTTTTGCAAAAAGTCAGACTCTAACTATTTTTTTTCACATTTTAAGCCCACAGAGTTGGATTATACTGCAAAAGTCAGATATTGATTGAACCTGAATTTTTCCTAGACCTCAGTGAAATTTTTTTCCAAGATTTCACCCTGACCTATCAAACTTGGAGCAGCCAAAATTCTGAATCAGCTACTGAGATTAATTCAAACTTGAAAAAAACAAATAATAATAAATATAGCTTTACCTCATAATATTTTCTATGTTTCTACAATATATTAAAAATAAATATTTTAATGAAATATAATTTGAAATATAATGCAAATTCTGGGTGTTTTGTTGTTGTTGTTGTTGTTGTTGTTTTTGTCAGAGATAGTTTTCTCCCTAGCTTTTGAGACTTCTCCTGCACCGTAATTTTATATTTGCAACAACAGGTGGATGACTTTATGCAGGCAGCACTTGGTATTTTGCTTCTTTGAATGAAAAAACTCCCATTTTCAAAAAAAAAAAGAAGTTAAAAAGCTAACTAATAACCCATAACATCTTGAACTAGTAGCAGAATCCACCAACCAACTGAAGAAGTGACTGATTTGAACCTGATAATGATTTTTGCCTGCAGGGTATTCCCAGATGCCCATCTAGCTCAATGCGAGAGAACAACAACAACAATATATATATGAAGTATATGTCCTGGCTATCAGAATGATGAGATGGAAACTGAATTTGTGATTTGTCAGGATATGTAGCAACAGAGTATTGTTCGGAGGTCAAGTGATTTTTAAATTTTCTATGATGTGCTTTATACAGAATTAACACGTTTAGTCTGTATCCTATTTTACTCACAGAACAAAGTACAAATTCTGTAGGTATATATGTATTTATATAGAAAATATTACATGAGTTTCCTAAGTAAATGAACAGAAAAGAGACTAAAAAATAAGCTGCAATAGACCTCCCTAAAATTCACTATAATATTTTTATACTTGTTTCAATCAAACCAGACTGTGGCCTTCAGCGTGTGAAGAGCCAAATAGGCAACAGCTTTAGAAAACTAAAGCCTTCTGCACCAAAAGCATGAAATAAATTTATGTAAACAAACTGCACAGGGGATGAACTGAATGACTTAATAAAGAATCATCTTCATTTCATTGCATCTTTGTAAAAAAAATGTAGAAATGAGCAAACAAGCAGACACAGAAAAGTACTTGAATATAAGAGCAGTACCAGAGGTTTCAGCTGTTACACATCTTTAACTCAAATAACAGTTCTATATCAAGAAATAGAAAGCCTAAGGGCAGAGTTTTCCAAGACATTGGATCCTATATCTAGCAACAATCCTGAAAACAAAACTTCAGAGCCTCCTAGCTCTGTGAAACACAGGAAGGAAAACCAGAGTGGAAATGACAATTTTTCTACATTTATCTCCAAATGACATCTCAAATGCTGCATTTTCTAACAAATTCCTCCTTATTTTTGCCATCATTCCTTCATTTCTAAAAACAGAGATGAATGCAAGGTGGTGCATTCCACCCCACTGTAAACTGCTACCCTAAAATAACAAATATGTTTATATTCCAAGAGAAAAAATACGCTTTACTAATTCTAAAGCTTAGGACAAGGGGATGCTCTCTGGCAGTCCTGAGGCACACTGGAGCCCTTCAGGTAAAAAAGACTGCCATTAATGAAGTCTCCAGAGGACTTCACAGAAGCTGCTTTCTACATGTCACTCATATTATGATGGAAAAGTTTAATCAAATCTCGTAAGAGTTGGCACCATTTTCTACTACTCATCTGATGCCTGATATGTTTTGTCTCCTCTGGAAATCTGGTCCTCAGCCAGATACTCCTCTCTCAAAATATTTTATTTCCATCTGTCTGCTTATCAACTTGAACCAGTTCTGGAAAAGCACTGAGATTTTCCAGACTCCCCGTACGGTTCCTCATCCCTCAGTTAGATTTTCTTTTGATTCACTGACACTTGCTCAGTGTCCACTGGTTCTTGATGGGACTGAAGCC